GAGAGAGAGAGAGAGAGAGAGAGAGAGAGAGAGAGAGAGAGAGAGAGAGAGAGAGAGAGAGAGAGAAGAAGAAGAGGACAGAGAGAACGTACATTTATGTTATACTGTTCCTTACAGACAGAGATAAGATTCCTCTACGCACATGTCAGGAGAGAAGCCTCGATAACAGACATTCAGAAGACCATTTCCAGACACGCATTTTTCCTCCCAAGCACAGACACAGCTTGCTGTCCAAGGCTGTCATCCAAAGGACAGCATCGTGTTCGCCCACGTCAAGCTTGTTAAGAAATAGGTACCATCTATGGGAAGGAAAAATCAAACGAAAGAATTTGTGCCGCCTGGATCATCATCATCGGTCAAACACAAGCTCCACAGTGAAGACCCTAGAGGAGCATCTGAGAATGTTCGCAAACATTTGCCACATGTCAAACGATGGATGAGAACCAAATCATAATCACAAGTACGCTACCAGCCACCGCCAACCAGCAACTTTACGTCTTGGTGATACTCAGCTCTGCCCTGTACAGAGTGGGCTGAATGTGATAAGTAGCTTGCGAGCAGTCTGACGAATAGTCAATGCATCCCCGGAGCACCTGCACCACTACTACTTTAGCCGAAGGACGAAACAAAGCACAAAATCTTTGAGAGAAATTCAGACAGAAGCATACGACTGGATGTGAAGTTTCACGACAATGTATAGATTTAAAAAAGAAAAAAAAAAGAAAAAAAACACTCCTAGAAGCCAGCAGCGAGGTCAACTCCTCCTTCGACTAAGCTCCACAGCAAAGAGGTTTACTTATCGTATCCATGTGTGTATTCAAGATGGAAGCGCTCATCCTTCACGCCATATCAACAGATTGATGACGCCCATGCATTTGCAGCCTTGCAGCCAGGTTTCGCACAACGGATCCTTCGAAGAAATAAGCTCCGCAGCAAGGAGGGTTACTAATCCTATCCTTACGCGTATGCGAGAGAGAGTAGAATTTTCAGCCTTGCAGCCCGGTTTCGCACAACCGTGAGGGTGCCAGATGTGCTCAGGAAGGAAAGTACAGCGGAAAACATGGGAGACAAGTGAAAACCTTTCCTCGTGAATCCCCGCTGTTAAAAGAAAAAAAGTAGTCAAGTCTCAACGCAAAAGGAAAGGAGAAAACTGAATACAAAATAATGAAAAAAAAGATTGGACATCCTCTGAAAAGTACACGGCTCAACCCAGAGGGCCGCCTACAACAGCCTCTAGCTGCACCGGCTGCCAACAACGCACATGGAGCGTCACCTAGAAAAAAGGCACTCTCCGAAGTCTTAAACAACAAACCCTAAACCCTAAGCCCGAATAAAGCCGCCAACCCTAAGCCCCCAGACCTAGACCCCAGACGCTAAGTGCTAAGATTGTGAACCTTAAACAACAACCCCTTAAACCCCAGGGCATGCTCAAGGCCAGGCCCCACTCCCTACAGCTTCATTCAAGCCTAGCACCATCAATACCTGGTACAGCCAGAGCAACCAATATCGGTGATGACGGGTGGCTGGGACCACCACAGCCAGAAGTTTCTCTCCAGGAAAAACAGGCAGCCAAGGTCAAGGGCTGTGAGGATACGGTTGTATCTATGGGCCGCTGGACCTGGTTTCCAGCAGGTGCTGCTCCCCAGCAATAGATGGAGCTTTTTCAACAAAAAAAAAAAAAAAAAAAAAGTCACACAGGCTGGTGGCCGCCTCCACATGGTGGTGTTAGGCTGCGAAGAAGCTGGTTGTTCTCAGCCAGTTCCTCTCCTGGGCCTGTTCTTGGAGGATATTCTCTTGGCCGCCCCTCTCTCACTAGAAGCGCTTGTAAGCGACTGGTACTTTGCACCTGGCCTTAATATCATTCAACCAGACTCGGCAGTGAGAAAAGCTCAAAGCCTTTCACAAGATCCCGCGAAGGAACAGATGAAGCAACCGAAGAGCGGAGCATCATACCTGCCTCAGCTGCCTCTTACCTCCCGGAGAGATGGCATCTGCATTCAATTTTTTCTTCCACAATGCCTCTGGAGCTTCGTCCTGCAATGCTCCAGTGGGCGGTTAGCCACATTAACCAATGATGAAATCGAATGAATGCCATTCATTCTTTAAAATTTGATGAATAATTATTATTACGCAACAGATCCCCCAATTCTTTGTCCATCCAGTGAGGGCATCGGCAAAATTTTCCACCTCCTTCAACCTCTACACTATGGGAGATTTTCGTTTCGAGTCCAGACTTCATGGGCATATCCGGAGACGCAACTTCTTTGCCACTGCCACGGTCTTCACCAGAAACAGACTTTCCCATCTGCCGCCTGAGCTTCTTTCCCATCTGCAGCTTCCCTCCTCTTTACCTCGCTGTTGCCGTGCCCATTTCACTGCCCCTGCCTCCCCATCCTAAGCAGTTTGCACCTATTCCTCCTCCTTTTCCGCAACCCAATTCAGCCTGTCGTCGTAGGAATGAGATGAGACATTTTCAGCCGCTCCGGATTCTTATAGTTGAGGATGGGAAGTCTGGCTGGGGCAGTGAAATGGGCAAAGCAACAGCATGGTTTGAGCAGAGCGGCTAGAGACGGGAAACAAGCGGGAAAGGGCTGGAAACTCCGCTTCTGATGAAAACCGTGGCAATAAATAGTTGCACCCCTGCCTGGCTGACATACGCACAAAGTACGGACGTAGACAAAAAAATCTCGCAGAGCGCTCGACTTGAAGGAGGTCGAAAAGCATGCCGATGTTTTTCGCAACCATGACCCTCACTCCATGGACACAAATATTAAACAATGAATCGTATGTCGAGGAGGCCGATCTGTTGCCTAATGATTCAAAGACTACAATGGTACTCCGTGGTTAATTCAACCAAGCGCCCACCGGATGCTCGCAGGAGTCGGGACGAAGCTCCCAATGGCACAGCGGAAGAACATTTTGAATGCCGGTGCCATATATGGAAAGATGAAAGCCAGGACTGATGCGCTCTCTGGTCCGTTCATCTGTTATTCATCCGCCGACTCTTGTGAAAGGCTAGTTTAAAACTTTTCCTACTGCTGAATCTGGCCGAACGTATGATTTTCCTAAGGCCAGGCACTGAGTAGCAAAACAAAGCAACATGACAACACTCAGCACTACAGGTCACGAGAACAGGTCCAGACAGGTGCAGACAAGGGACGAGTGATTCCCACAGAGACCAAGTTGGGGTGGATCAAGGCAAGTTTGGGGCAATGGATATAAAAAGAGATGGGGTGGATCAAGGCAAGTTTGGGGCAAAGGATATAAAAAGAGATGATGGTGTTTTTTTTTTTTTAGTAGATCAGCAGATCAGAGATCAAAAGAATAGATCAGGACAGATCATACTGCAATGCAGTGTGGTTGCAGGATGCTGTTCTAAATTCGAATGCAATACATCCGGCGATAGAGGGATTGGCATTGACATGAGCTCCCCCACAAACAGATACAACCAACCAAAAAAAAGAACAATGGATTCGCTTAGCGCAGCCTGGGTCCAGTGAAGGTGAGATGGGTATAGAATCTATCTATAGATATATTAAATACATTTGCTAAGCCCTTGAAGGATTGATATAAAAGGACTCAAGGGAATGGGGTTCCCAACTTCCCATTGTATTGATGGAGTGTGTGTCTTCAATATAGCACTCGGATTCATATACAGTTCGAGGACCAATAACAAATATCAGTAGATTCCGGAACTCGAAGTACAAAAAAAAAAAAAAAAAACCTGTAACTTGAAGACATCGCACACAACTTCTCTCGTTCTACCAATCCTCGGCTGCAGCCAATCTCAAGGAATCCACTAATGGCTGCTTAAGCACATTCTTGAAGCCAGTTCAGTAGTTTGTCAGAGCACCAGTTTTTTGGTCACTGCGTCTTCTTGTCTACATCTTGCTTCATATCATATGTGACACAAACATCCGCAGCCGTTTTGATCTGTGTTACACACACCCAAGCACACCAATACCCACACCAGCACCCACAGGTGCCCGCGCACAAACATACCCATGCACCCATGCACACACACACACACACACACACACACACACACACACACACACACACACACACACACACACACACACACACAAACACACACACAACATAAACAAACACACGCTCATTCGCCAACATGCAAACGCATCCATCCACCCCCCCACACATGAACACACATACACATGCGAGCATACACAGACACATCCCTTCCCCCCACCCGCCCCCAACACACACACACACACACACACACACACACACACACACACACAGACACATGAATATGCTGTAAGTATGCTGCATTAAACACAATATATCCCTTACAGCTGGCATGCACACCATCTTCGGGGCCATAAAATATGATTGTTGCCATAGCCTTGGTTGTGCGATTGTTAGACCAGCAGTGTATAAGTCTCGCGACAAGTTTGACTAAGGCCGCTACGTTTGTGTCAAATGGCATTAATTGCCTTTGATCACTTTGATCAGCAGCACAACAATGCATGCATCAGCAGTCTTTTCCCCTGTTCATAATATCACGTGTAGGCAGCTTGCACAGCGGAAAAGACTACACGGAGCTGCCTATGCACATGCACGCATGCATCCGCAGTCTTTTCCGCTGTTCATAATATCACGTGTAGGCAGCTTACACAGCGGAAAAGACTACACGGGGCTGCCTATGCGCATGCACGAATAGTTACTTGTAGATTCATGCATGTGCCAGACTTTTAGTAAACTATTCCAGAACTTATCTCTGTGCATGCAGGACGAGGGCGTCGGGCTCGAGGGCGATCCATAAGCCGTAATTGAGCGGGTCACTTTTTACGGTAATGGAATTTGCATTCAGGAAGAGGGCGTCGGGCTCGACATTCGGGCACTTTGTATGTGCTGCCAGACTACAAGTAACTATTCCAGATCAGTATCTCTGCTGTCTCGGAGCTCACACAGGGCGGAGACCATGTCCTTCTAGTTTTCACCACTGCAATCAGACTTGCTTTCTTTTCCACTTTACATACATGCGAACAGATGGCGATTCACACTGGCGCACAGCGCCCACTCACAGCTCAGAGATATGGAAATCGAGAACACAGTTCGGTTGCAACTTGCTTCACCAGGCTATGGCGCCACAGCGTCTGAACATCCCAACTCTCATTACTGCATTCAACAACACTGTCCACACTTACTCAACTCTGGATCGCCCTGAATATCTCACACACGTTCCTCTCTGGCACTCACACACGCTATTGCCTAACTACCTCCTACAGCGGCTATGGCCACCCTACTAACACTAACTATGGCTACGTAGTCTCACTTCAGCCCACTTCGACTTCGGGCAGCATGCAGACCACCTTGCACAAGACGCTGTAGCAGCACTTCCGCATGGCTTACGCAGCGAATGAATGAATGGCTGGGTGCTGCCTCTTGATTTATACTTCCGTAACTCGTTGGTCTGGCCCTTTCCCATGCCCTTGGTGCTCACACTCCCACACGGTACTTGCTTGACTGGGCTATGACTGACTGGGACCGGTACCGCTGACTGCAAGGGTTTGCACTGCCAACTCGATGCAGTCGCACTGCCGACGATGTAACGCAGCTGGGCTCACCACTTGCCCACTTGCCTCTGTCTAAACGTGAGCCAACTTCGAAAGGCCACTTCCGGACCTTCCGGAAGTCTGTGGTCTTGGCCTTTCGAACACTGCAGCAGCTACGACCTTGACCCTTCAGGACTGTAGCAGCTACGACCTTGACATCTCACAACACCTGCAGCGGCGACTTCTACAAGGCTGTGACCCCTACTCATCAGATCTACAGATCGAACCCCTACAGCTACACAGACTTACGACAGACATCAAACAACTACTACCAAAATACAGGTCACGGGTTCAAACACTCGGGGGTCAACTCAATACTGTACATGGGCAAGGTAAGGTTTGGGGATCTTGTCCTTCGGGACATCCGTTAAAATTGGAACAATACACAGAGAGAGAAGATCAGCATGGCCCCTGCGCAAGGATGCCACGCATAAATCGAGAAATGGTCCAAATTAAAAAAAAAAAAAAAAAAAAAAAAAAAAAGGTTTGGGGATCGAACTGCAGTGCCCGCATCTGTGACTGCAGAAAGGTGAAAACCGTTTCACCACACAAACAAAGAATGAAATAATTTGCTACTGCCTTTCTTCTCTTTTCTTTCCTGTCAGAGAAACTCTGTGATCATCAAGCCTTTTCTTTGCAACTTGATTGTCTTCTAGCATTCAAGCTAGTTCATTAGCAAGTCATCTGCAACATTTCTTCTGCAATCGCCATCTTCCGTTTGCTTTCATTAGAGACTGTGGTTGGTTTTCCCTCTCACAGAACGTAAGGGACTCTTATCGTGGATAAACGGACCCGCTGCATTAGAACTTTCCAATGGCCATTTGCAAGGAATATTCAGAACCAGCTGCACATCATGAGGCCAACTTACCAAATTCAGCAAACTGGTATCATATAAGCCTACCACAGACACTCTCCTTTGGGTTCAGCCCTTTTTTTTTTTTTTTTTTTCAAATGAAGATTGAGGCCGGGGTCCTCACAGTCTACCCGGAGTTACCGAACCGAACATGCTGAGAACCGGGCTCCTTTGGGTTCAGCCCTGACCAGAGCCAATAGGATTTCTCAAGAAATAAAACTTCAAAAAACGGATACGAAGACTTCATTATCTCTACTTCTACAAGGCTTCTGAACTTCAACGGTAGCAGTCAGTTTGCTCAGGTCCTCAAAATGAGCATCATCGTCTCCATCACAAATTTCCAATGTTTTCTAAGGTGATGTGCATTGAATGTGAACATACCTGAACAAGATTGACAAACTGTTTGATCACACATCCAGGCAGAGCGACCCACGCAATGACTTCAACAAGCGACCGCTCTCCAATCATAGGAAGATCCACCTGGAAAAAATGAAGAAGGTCAATCACCACACAGTGACACTATCAGTCGACTTCAACGCTCAAATTCACAAGTACGTAATGAGCCCCAGCTCACATCATCAACACCGGGCACATATCTCACACCCCATTCAAACCCTTCAGAGTTTAGATCCATCTTTATCTGTGTATCTGTGGAAATACAGGATGCTTCGAAAAAACAAGGATTTGCTAGAAGAAAAAGATACGATCTTGTCCTTCGGGACATCCGTTAAAATTGGAATGATACAGAGAAGATTAGCATGGCCCCTGCGCAAGGATGGCATGCATAAATCGAGAAAAGAGACGATCTTCATACATTAGCTGAACCAAATCATTCGTAGCTTTTCTCACTATCGTTCGTGGTTTCAAGATTCTTCTCCCCATTAACCATCTCTCCGTAAAGGTGAGGGATGGTCAACGGAGGCGTAAATTTCCAGACAAGTAGTCACACCATGGGTAACCAAACCCGAGGTCCATTTTAACCAAACTTGCCACCAATTCGTAGTGTGAAACGGTTTTCACCTTTTAGTAAAAGCGGATGCAGTACTCAGAGTTCGATCCCTAGACCTCACCCTACACCTGTACAGTATTTGTGTGAACCCCGAGAATTGAACCTGTGACCTGTGTATTCATAGGCAGTTGGTAGACCTGTCGGAGGTCCGTAGACAGCTGGGGTTCGATCTGTAGGTCTATAGCGTAGGAATCTTAGTGAGTTCTGGAAGCTTAGCTGTAGACCTTCTAGAAGGTAGGCAAGTGGGCAAGTGGGCAAGTGGTCAAGTGGTGAGTCTAAGGTAGGCCCACGTTTTCAGACGAAGACAAGTGGCAAGGTCAACAGGTAGGACCTCAGTGCAACTGCACTGAGTCGACGGTACGACC